CATTAAAGGGAGGGGCTAAAGAAATTCATTTTCAAGATTACAACAGTTTGGTGATTGATGAAGTAACCTTACCTAACGTAGTGGCTAACTCCACTTTAGGAGAAGAAGAAGAAAATGATACAAGTGAACCAGCTGTGAAAAGAGGCAGGAAGTCAAAATTAGCACAAGAACTACTTAAATGCCGGTTCTTTTCTGGTGAATGGTCTGAGTTCTGTGAACTTATACTAAGCAGTGAAAAACCTTTTGTAAAATATGATCTCATACTCACCTCAGAAACCATTTACAACCCAGATTATTATAGTGCTTTGCACCAAACATTCCTCAGGCTTTTAGATAAAAATGGACAGGTGCTTTTGGCCAGTAAAGTACATTATTTTGGTGTAGGTGGAGGTATTCATCTCTTTCAGAAGTTTGTAGAGGAAAAGAATGTATTTGAAGCTCGAACACTTGAAGTAATCGATGAAGGCCTAAAGAGGGTCCTAATTGAACTAACTTTTAAACATCCAGTTAATAACCCTACTGTGCTAAGTGAAATAAATTGAGTTACCAAATCTTTTTGTTTGGAGTATTCATTTTATACTTTGCAATTTTTTTCTCCTGAAATTGTTTCCTTCCCCACCCCCCAAATAACAGATCTTTCCATCCAATTAAACTTTGCATCTAGTTAAGACATGATATTCCTGAATATTTTTATTATCTCCTGGGAAATTATTCTGTGACAAAGCACTCTCCCAGCTACTCTATTTGACCTTTCTACCACCTTTGCAGTTAGATGGAAGTCTTCCCGGGAAAACATGCCATTCCTCCTTTTTGCATTTAATAATACTTTTATTTTGTTTCCCTTAGCTGTCTAAACCTTCTATAGCAGAAATAACCTAAGTGGATGGCTTTAACAAACAGAAGAGCATTTTTATAGGATGCTGAAAGCCAAATTTAGGGTGCCAGCTCTACAGGTAGGCCTCCTCTATTATGAAGGAAAGTCCTTGTTTCTTTCAGCATACACAGGTGTTCGATTACTAAAGGACCTTGTGCCTTGATCTTTCCTTGATGATGTTAAGGAACTTCTTTAAGTACTGGTACTAACTATACATTCAACTCCTGGTGATTATATCTTGGTAGTGCTGAGGTTCCTCACTCCCTGTCCCCTCCTCTTGCTTACTCTTTTATCTGTTATGAGATTAAAGGTCTTCTAGGACACACTGATGTCAATTTGAGGACCAAGGTGTGTCTGATTCAGGCTTTGGTCTTTTTGTCACTGGCTGTGCATCTGACAGACAGTGAATAAGGATGACAAAAGAATTTATGCCTTTGAGTTGGAGAAGACGACTAAATATCCCATGGAATGCTAAAAACAAGCAGATATGTCTTGGAGAATATGCAGCCAGAGTGTTCCTTGGAGGCAAAGATGATAAAACTTTGTCTCACATGCTTTGGGAATGTTGCTAGGAGGTTATTCTTGGAGAAGAACATCATAGACTTCAAAAGAGAGGAAGACTCCAACTGGATGGATTGACACAGTGCTGGAGCAATGGGTGTAAGTGTGTTGGAGATTGTGAGGATAGGACAGGGCTCAGATCTGTTCATAGGTTGCCATGAGTCATACTTGATGGCACCTAACAACAACATAGCGCATACCTTAGGGGAAAATTCCCTTCCATCCCATTAATGCATCCCATCCTTAGCCTTCTTAAAACTATTTGGTTTGTCAGATCATGGACCATAGTTTCCACATTTTATCATGACATGTATTGAGAGACACCATCCATGACGGTTACAGGTGAAAGTTGACAACAAACTAGGTGCTTTTTGTAAAAAATATTTTCATTTTTTAAAATATTGGTTTACTTACAAAGTATATTTTGTATGTCACACTATTCTTCATTCACTTTGTTTTTCATACAATCATTCCCATTTATTATGCTTTATGACATTAATCATCATTACTCTTTTTTTTTTTTTGGTTGTTTTCTTTTTTCCCTGTGTATTATTGAATCAGATCTGACTGGCACAGAAGGAGATTGTCCCTCCTCCAGCAGAGCATCTGGTGGTCTTTCTCATTTCTTTTACTACTTTCCTCCCTCCACTCACCAAATTGTATAACCCCATGATATCCTCCCTGTCCATTCTCATCCCTCTGCTCTCTGCCTCCACCCCTTGGTTCCTCATACACATTTTACTAGTTATCTATTTCTACAGTAAACATCTTCTGCAGTATTTTTCCTTATGAGACTGAGTTCACTAAGCATAATACTCCCCAGTACCCCCCAAGTTATGTAATAATTCTCAAAATTGTTGCTCCTGTGTGTGTAATATTCCATCATGTGAGTGTACCACAGTTTCTCAATCCATTCTAGTGTGGGTGGACATTTGGGCTATTTCCATGTTATTGCAATGGTAAATAATGCTGCTATGAATATTGGTGTACAAATCTACATTTGTGTCCCAGTTTTAATTTTCTGAGAGGATGAAAGGCACCCAAGCGTGAAGGACTCTCCTTCATGGGGTTGCTATGAGTCGCCTGCAACTCGACGGCACTTAACAACAACAACAACATATTCCCTAGCAGTGAAACCCAGTTATTCCACTGCTAGGAATATATTCTGAAAAAGATTTTATAACAATTTTTATTCACATTTTTCACATCATTGGTTATATTTTTTATAATATTCCAACCTTGATATTGTTCCCACTCTATTCTGCCTTCATGAATCTAGATCCTCTCCCTATTCTCTCCATTTTTTTAAATTGTTGATAATTTTGATCTCAGATTGAACACATTACTTATCCATAGTGATCGTGTTTATTTTAAAGAATGGCCTTCAGAGATAACATCCATTCCAGGTTCAAAGATTATCTTAGGCTAATATTCTTAGAGTTCCTATGTTGTTTTGTGCCATGGAGTTGCTTGTGACTCATAGCAACCCTGTGCACAATAGTTATGAACCCTGCTCGATCCTGAGCCAACCTCACTGTCTTACACACATCCCCATTATTCCAGTCATTGAGTCAATCCATCTTATCCAAGGCCTTCCTCTCCTGCGCTGTCCCTCCACGCTCCCAAGCATGATGTTCCTCTCCAAATTCCCCTTCTTGCAACATGCCCAAAGTATGTCAAATGAAGCCTCAGAATCCTTGCATCCAAGGAGTAGCCTGGTTTCATTCTCTCCAGGATGAACCTGTTCTCCTAGCATCTTACATTCAATACTCCAACACCACAGCTTAAAGACATCGGTTCTTCTTTCAGCCTTAGTTATTGTCTAGCTTTCTGATGCATAGCAAGTAATTGCAAAGACGATGGCCTGGGTCAGGCACACCTTAGTCTCCAGATTGACATCATTGCTCTTCAGTACTCTGGAGAGGTTCCTGACAGCAGATTTTCCCAGTGCAATTAACCTTTTGATACCACTGGTATCAAGAGTGTTGAATGTGGAGCCAAGCAAACTGAAACTGATAACAATCTCAATCTCTACAATCTGTCGATGCTGCCAATCAGCCCAGTGGAGGGAAAAAAAACCCAAAAATCTTTGTTCGTTTGTTTTTTCAGTCAAGGGTCTGATTTTATTCAAGTATCTGAAAATATTCTAAAATGGAAAACTTTTGTTGAAGACTGTAGCTTGCCATGGGCTATATATTGCCATATTGTTTTCAGAAGACTTTAGAAAACTACTACTAGTAGTTTTAAAAACTGTACACCTGTTAGAGAACTGAGGAAGACTATTTAATGTTTCATCCGGATCCAGAGATGCATCAAAATAAATGATCAGCTACAATCAGCAAATGAGTGTTTTAGTGATAGGTATCCAAGAAGAAAAGGTTGGTGATGGACAATTCAGAAATGCTTCCTCAAAAGGCAGATGAATAAAAATAAAAAACAGGCAGATGAATGATTTCTTAAAAAGGTGCCAGTCATTCCCTGTGCAGAAATCACTGTTGCCCAAACACATGGACTTTTGGTCCAGAAAACAGGTCTTCCACGCTCACTGTGCTGGCATGAATCATACTCTGATGGAACTAATGATATTGAGCTTCAATCCATATTGACGGCTGCAGTCCTTGACCTTCTGCAGCAAATGCCTCAAGTTCTCAGTTTCAGCAAGCAAGGTTGTGTCATCTACATAACTAGAGCTCCCATAGACTCTAGGAATCTTTTGATTCAGTAGACCTAGTCTTTTTAGAAATTTAAGTTCTATTTTACATTTTCCTTCTATTCTATCCAGGATGTTATCAGATTCCTGGTCAAAATGTTCAGTCTTTGTAGCTGATCAACACCTACTTATTTCTGGTCTCAGAATGGAAAAGGTTGTAGCTCATAGGAGATATGAATTGATATTTTCATTGACTTTGATCATTCCCATGCTTTTTCTGAGCAGGGACCAATCAGGTGACTGGCCCATTGCCAGCTTTTAAGGTCCCAGCTAATTATTTTAGTGATCTGTGTTAGATCAAATAAATTAAAAAGAAAGATATTTGAAATGTAAATTAACGGTCAAGGTCTAGGAGAAGGAATCATAAGAAGCAAAAAAGTATATGCCAAGACAATGAGTTTTGTAGTGCAATAGTTATTGTGTTAAAGCAATTCCATGGAACTCTCATTGCCTGGTCCATAGGGAGTTGTGCTGCTAACTAAAGGCCATGCTTTCCTGGTGGTTCAGATCCACCAGTGACCCCACATAAAGAAGAGGGGCCATTTCCTCCCATGCAATTTACAATCACTATGAGTCAGTTCTGATTCCAAGGATATGAGTTAGGTTTTTTGTGTTTTTTTTTTAAAATTCCATTCCAACTATAGAGACCCTGTAGGTGAGTAGAATTGCTCCATAGAGTTTCCTAGGTTTTACCTTTATGGGAGAAAATTACTAGGTTTTTTCTCTAGCTGAATGGCTAGTGGATTAAAATATTAATGGCTTTTGGAGTATATTACCTTGTGTTAGAATTATTCTCATTAGCTCTGTGACCTTTGGACATAGATTTTCTTTTCATGCCTCAATTTCCCCATTTCTAATTATTTGAAAAATTCAGGACATGGTCTTTTTAATCACTTTCTAAGCATCTGAGAGCTAGACATTGACAAAGGATAATAGAACAAAAATTGATGCCTTTGAATTATGGTGTTTCAGGAAGAACATTGAACATCCCATGAATAAACAGAATGTCTTGGAGAAGGTGTATCCAGAGTATTCCTTGGAAGCAAAGATGATAAAGCTTTGTCTTTGGGGATTTTTCTAAGAAAGGATATTCCTTGGACAGGGACATGCTTGGAAAGGTAGAGCATCATGCTTGGAAAGGTTGGCAAAAGATAGGATGACACTCAACCAGGTAGACTGACGCAGTGACTGCCACAGTGGACTCTAGTGTGTCAGGAGGTGTGAGGATGGTACAGGATAGGGCAGGGTTCAGATCTATTGTTTATAGGGTTGCTATGGGTAGTCCTCGACTCGACGGCACCTAACAACAATGAAGCACTATTTGTAATAGCATCTGACATATCTTAGGAAGAAAAGAATATTGAGTACTTGTCATCACTTCCGTCCCATAGTTGATA